GGGGGGGGGGGGCAGGGGGAGGAGATAGTTTTCTAATTAATAAAAACTATGAACTATGCAGACCTATGTATTTTTTTAATTGTGGAAAAAAAATCAAATATAAAATAAAGCATAAAGTTAAAGTGAGTATGTTTTACTCCTTGTACATGTTCCAATATTCACATATTTGCAAAAGAAATGACAGGAAAACTGCTAAAACTAGTCCTTTTTTTGTCATTTGTATAACAACCAATAAAATGCAGTTTTTTGCTAGTTTTAGTCTAAGCTTGAAAGAGCCACTGCAGAGGAACCAAAGAGCTGCATGTGGCTCCAGAGCCGCAGGTTGCAGACCCCTGGTTTGGGGGCTTCTGAAATGCTGTGGATGCAATGCTGAAACAATAAAAATCTTTTGCATATTAACAAAGGACCATTCTTATGTGGACTGGGTCGTACTGTTTGATTTTACACCTAAATATTTTGATTGCAAGATCTGTACTTAGTTTGGCTAGGTAAAGTTTTGTCCTACTTATGTTGACTTGTATAAAGAATAACGATGTGAGCATGAGGTAATTTAAACAAACAAACAAACAAAAAATAACAGTGCTTAAAAACATTTAAGCCTAGATTTACTTAATATTACAGTAGTCCCTTGTTTATCGCAGGGGATCCGTACCCTGAAGACCCACGATAAGTGAAAAACTGAAATAGGAATAGTAGTACAAGTAGTAAGGAGTAGGGGTGTAACGGTACTCTAAAATCACAGTTCAGTTCAGTTTCAAGGAGGGCTCGGTTCAGTTAATTTTCGGTACAAAAATGGCCAAAATGAAGACTTACAAATTGTTTATTTTGAAAATATGTCAAGTAAACAGTATGTTTGAATAAAAATAAATAAAAGCGACCCATTTGGATGATATTTTAAATAAACGGCACTCTTTACAATAAATAAACTATACTAACAATAATAAAAATCTTAATAAATACAATAACAGTCAGAACCAGAACAATAAGCAACAACAGACCATTTGCAACTTAACCAGTCAAGTTTTAAGTTTTTGGCCAAAAAGACCAACTTGTCCACATTTTCTGTCAAAAGCTCAGATCTAGTTGCAGTGAATATCTCCAGTGGTGGAGAAAACCTCTAACAACAGTAGCAGGAATAAAGAGGTAGAGCTTTGCTAATTTTGCAGTGTGGCTGTATTTTGCCTCATTACTCAACCTCTTGGACCTGCTCCCACCTGTCTCTGGAACAGTTCAGTGTTCAGTCATCACAGACTTCTTAGCTGGAGGTTATCTCTGGTAGATTTCCCTGAAGAGGAAGACTCAGCTGCTATCTCTATCCCAGACTGGAAATAAAACACAAATGCCCCTTTTCCACTGTCACAGTGCGGATCAAGTCAGTTCGGGTCGGTTCAGATCGGCTCGGGTCTGTTGTGTTTCCATTTACACTTCTGGACCGGCTCTGTAGGCGGGGACTAGAATCCAACTCGTCTTACCACCTGGTGGTGGTAGTGCTCCCTTAAGCTACTTGCTAGCCACCACTAAATGTATTAGAAGAAGAACACCCTGAAGATTTTGTCACATGATGTTGTGGAAGTGATGTTATGCTTTAATGGAGTACCTCATGAGCTGTAACTTTTAAACCTGATTCATAATCCTACCTTACTGCCTTCCTGCCTGCTTTAAATCCATGTGTTTTTCCTGATGCATGCTCAATAATCCAGGTAGAAAAATCTAAAAAAGTTAAATCTGGTCCTCTGGACATTCAAAAAAA